ATGCAATAAACATCAGTTTTCTTTTTTTAAGTCTAGTTTTTTTGTTAAGTTGTTATGTGCTGTCATGTTAAGCTTATATTAAAGTTTTTCTTCATTACCCATTTAAGCCGTCTCCAGCCATTATTATATTATTACTTATTATTATTAAAACTGGATAGAATTTAGAAATGAGAATAGCATTAGTACTAATAGTAATACTAATAATAGTAATAGCAGGACTTACTGCTTTGAGGGCAGCAAGACGGTCCTTCGTCATTGTGATATAAATAAAGATGTTACGCTGGAACAAACAGTCATTTAAAGTTCATAGCACCTTTTCATTAAAACTGTAAGTGTAAGGGAAAACACCAATTTTACGAGTAAAGTTGGACTACACATTTTAAGGCGGTGGTTGCGCGGACAATCGATTTTCTGTCAAGATATCGTAAAGACACTACATATAACGACGTATAGATGGCACTTCTTTGATTTATCAGACATATTTACCAAAATAAGTATAATAATTATTATATAGGCTTGATGAGTTTTAATATTTTATTACATGTTATACCTGATTTGTGGTAAACAATTTTTAAAAATGTTAATTAAAATTGAAAATGGCTTTCATTTTTACGGCATCTTATAAATAGTTTGTTTGTTGGACTTTTTCTTAATTGTCATACAACTAAAATCTGTAACATAATTTAATTTCCACTGTTATGTTAAACTTATATTAAAGTTTTTCTTCATTACCCATTCAAGCCGTCTCCAACCATTATTAATCTCAAAGTGGGTTCCTCGTCATCGAATTTTAATTTTCACTTAATTTTATACATACATTCGCAAAAATTGCAAGGAGATTAAAGAAGTGAGGGCTGTATTAACGAACAGGTTTCATTCCCTTGTTTTTCTAGATTAAATGTTTGATTTTATCATAATATTCATAAAAGAGTCTAAAAACACCAGTTACAATTAATAAAAGTAACTATAATTTAATTGGAACGTCCAGCCTAAAAAAAAAAACACTTTATACGTACGTAGTATACGCGGCCAAAGACCCTTTATCTTCAGGTATAGCACTTATTAATTGTGTGGCCTGATAGTTAAGGCGCTCGACTCACAACCTGAAGGTCGCGGGTTCGAATCCCCGTCACACCGAACATACTCGTTCTTTCAGCCGTGGGAGGCGTTATAATCTGACGGTCAATCCCACTATTCGTTGGTAAAAAGAGTAGCGATGAGTGGTGTTGACTAACTACCTTTTCTTTAATCTATCACTTACCTCTAAATTAGGCCCTCGTGTAGCCTTGCGTGAAACTTAAAACAAATCAATCTTAATTGTGACTAATTAATTAACCAGAGGGAAAAATACCAGTCACCAGCACATTCGGCCAAAAGTACTTTGAACATCCTTTTGAACTAAATAACTGGACTAATTGTCACGTTTATAATGTGCCCGCAGCTTAAATTTAAAGTACCTAATTACAGGCTGTTTAATCCACAGCCCGACATATTAATTACTAAGCCACTTTCTGCCCAAATGTATAAAAAAATATATCAGGACAAAGCATGGCTTGTTTATTTGTTATGAATTTCGCGCAAAGCTACACGAGGCTAGCCGTCCCTAATTTAGCAGTGTAAGACTAGATGGAAGGTAACTAGTCATCACCACCCACCGCCAACGCTTTTTCCAACGAATAGTGGGATTGACCGTCACATTATAACGCCCCCACAACTGAAAGGGCGAGCATGTTTGGTGGGAAGAGGATTCGAATCTGCGACCCGCAGATTGAGAGTTGAGCGCCCTAACCACATGGCCATACCGGGCCAAAGAGCATGGCGCATCAACGTATATAAGAAGTGAGAGAAAGAAGAAAAAGAAAAAACTCCTACAATAATAAATGTCAAATAAAAATTATCAAATTTGCTATAATATAATTTAGAATTTTATATCATATCCTGTGTCCTAAAAGTTTCTAATTCCTAATTCCACACCATGTTGTCAAAACTAAAAGGTTGAAGTTTTCTGCATAGAAATTAATATTATATGGTTTAATTTCATCAGATTGTAGTAATTTGAAAATAGTGCATGTAGGTGGTATAACTCGTTATTAATGTAGTAGTTAATAAAAACAACTATTTGTAATTTATATACATCAAGTAACATAAATGGATAGGTTAAACATTTTATAAGCATTTATGAAAAGTCATAATTTTGTGCATTTGCCCTTTACCTTCAAATTCTATGCCATCACAATTAATAAATCGCAGAGTAACATATTTGACCATGTAGGAATATTTCTTCCGGAACCAATTTGTTTTCATTGTTCAATTTATAATGCTTTGTCAAGAAACAGATTTGAATATAACATAAAACACATACACAAATCAAAATTCTAATCAAGGAACACTTACAGATGATGGCAAAATTAACAAGAATTGTCGTTTTCGTGAAATACTTGAAAAAGAAAACATTTTTTTACATATATTGTTACTGTTATTTGTTACTAAGCACAAAGCTACACAAAAGTCTATCTGTGCTCTGTCCACCACGGGTATCGGAACTTGATTTCTAGCAGTACGAGTCCGCAGATATCCCGCTGTGCCATTGGGGAGCATATTGTTACTATAATTAATTTTTAGAAAAGATGTTCATAAAACATTTATTTAGTTTTAATTTTCCATAAAAAAAATTAATCAGCATTTACCGTTATAATGATGAGCATGCAGCTAGTAATATTCTGCAGATAGATATATCTCCTAAGGTTTACCATTCACTGGATTACTTTTTGTTTGTGTGTGTGTGTGGTTTTACATGATGTGACTGTGGTGTCGCTCGCTGGTAAGCACCTTGTCAATTATGTTATCGAATTATTGTATTAGTAAAAACATGAGAACAGCATTGTAACTAGTAAAATAAACAAGAAAAACACTTATTTTTAAGTTTTATTTGTGTGTTTATACATTCCACGTAATCATGCAAAACTGGTGACTATTTCTAATTTCAAGTATAACCTACGAAACCAGCACCATAACTTCCTTTATACGATCTTTTCATGGGTTACTAGAACAGTTCTTTTATAATTTTTGACCCTGAAGCAACGTCAAAGGTTCTGATACATCACTTATTGATCAGTAAACCTCTCAGAGAAAGCTTCTGGGCGTCATTTTTCTTTGGATTCCAGTTTGTCTATGATTGGGTTGTTCTTTATGAAGAAGAAATTAATCTACACATTAGCCCATTCACTGCAGCTGGGACGTATATTTCTCAGTACTCCCACCCCCTCACACTGTGACTAGGACAAATGTTTCCCATCGTTGAAGCTGTTTACACCTTTCTCTGATGGGACCAAGTTCATCATCTTGACTATCATCACTAGATGGAGAGCTAGCATCTTCTTGTTTCATTGCCTCTTCATCATCACACATTTGAACACCACTTGACTCACTTTCACTATCTTCTAAGCTATCCGAGTCAAGTCCATAAAGCATATTTACATAGTAATTAGGGTTAATACTCGCCGCTTTAGCGATGCAGGCACGGTCAGCACGCAATTGTCGTACGTTCTTTAAGCATCTTGTTGGTTACTGAAGGGCTGAGCGGAAAACATTGAGGGAAACCATATATCAACATTAGGTGGGCCAATAAATATTTTCCAACTCATCTTACCCCCATACATCATGCAGCAATTATGAATAGGAAACATTTGTCCCAACCACAGTGTGAGGGGGTAGAATCATTGGAAAATATACATCCCAGCCACAGTAAAAGGGTTAAAGAAGATATTAGGCTAAAAAAACGTTTTCTACTGATAGTCATCAAACAAATTCAGTGACAATCCACTCAGATCTGACATTTGTATCCATTATACAAAGAAACATTTATATCTAAAATATACAAAACTATTTATTAAAAGTGCAGCTATTATGGAGACTATATACATACAAGCTGAATTCTATTTCATACATGACTATCCTCGGTAAAACATTAAAGTTATACTTAATACTGTCTACCAAATGCATTTTCTTCACTTGTCACAAAAATTTGTTAAAAAATAATCATCAATACATAATCATAAGTCTACTAATTTCAAAATATATTTCTGCATAGAAATAAAATGTTTGTTAAAGTAGTCAACCTAAAGTCCACTTTAACTCTAAGACCAATTTTGGATAATCTTTCAAATTAACTGTAAAAGGATTTAAACCCTTGTATGTTTGCTTATATGGTTTATTTTATTTTTTAATGAAATGCAACTGATACAGCTAAAAGAGAGACAAGACCAATCATCACACACTCTTTTAATTTTTACAAAAATTTAATAATCCACGAAAAATTCAGAACTTGTACCGTGATAGATTAATTTAAACTTAATGTTGATAATTAAATATATCTTCCAAACCAATAGTTATCGTAACTACTGATCCAGTTTTGACAACCTTGCATCTTGTTTTTAACAACATATTCAAAACTGAATGGGTTTGCATTATCTCTCAGGATTCGTTGTTCTTCTTCCAGTAGTTCTTCGAGTATTTTCTGGCTGATGGGCATAGCATCAAAAGGAAGCTTGTTAACAACCTGCAGAATTAATTCAAAATACAAACCCATATGATAAAAATAAAAAAACAGTAAAGTTAAAAACGTAACAAAGAAATTCTGCATTGCACAGCTATGTGAAACATTTATAGAAATTTCTTGAGCTAATCAGAATTATTTATCACTATGTATAGCTCATATATTATGAATGCTTACTACAAGTGAAAAACATTTTAAAATACTATGTGTAAAATTACATTACGTATTAACTAATTAATTGGTATTCTATTAGGTTATCGATTTATACTGGAGCTTAAATACTATTACGCCACAAAATGATTTATTTGGAGACGATTTCAATCATTTTAATATCGTGTATGTTTTTGGTTTTTATTTGGAATTTTGAAGTTATGGAAATATGAAAAAAAATATTTTTATATTATTTTCACAAAAACATGCCCTGATCATTAGCTAATAATAAAAAAATTAAGAATTAAATTTCAAATCTTATTTTCATTGCTATTTATCTTTTATCAAAAAATATTAAAAAAGCAACAAAACTTTTCTCTAAGAAATCTTGTCTTTTATATACAAAAATAATGCAAGCACAACTGTTAGTCATTAACAGATTTTAATGTCAGTACATAATAACTGTTAGTCATTAACAGATTTTAATGTCAGTACATAATAACTGTTAGTCATAAAACAGATTTTAATGTCAGTACATAATAACTGTTAGTCATTAACAGATTTTAATGTCAGTACATAATAACTGTTAGTCATAAAACAGATTTTAATGTCAGTACATAATAACTGTTAATCATAAAACAGATTTTAATGTCAGTACATAATAACTGTTAATCATAAAACAGATTTTAATGTCAGTACATAATAACTGTTAGTCATTAACAGATTTTAATGTCAGTACATAATAACTGTTAATCATTAACAGATTTTAGTGTCAGTACATAATAACTGTTAATCATTAACAGTATTTTAGTGTC